AAACGCCCGCCATTTATCGTATTTGGCTAATATATATACACAAAAATGACGACTTAATTTGTAGCGACATAATTGCTAATCGCTTTGTTCTGATAATACTTTGACGTCATATTCGGTCTAACCAATGGAGTCCGTTTCAACTACTTTGAATTTCCCACCTATATTTGCACTTTTTTATAATTGTTTTCGTAATCAAAAACTTAAGAAAACCGATTTCCAGGCACTAATAAGTTAAAAATAAACGGGGGTTTTCATTTAGAATAGTTACCTAATCAGATATTTTCGAAGTCGGTCCCAGCCGATAAAAATTAAAGCACACCGACTTCGAAAATATCTGATTAGGTATCTATTCTAAATGAATATCTCCGTTGAGTTATTTTTTACTTTTTATTGCCTGGAAGTTGGTTTCAATTTTTTTCACAGCAGGTAATTTGTAATAATAAAGTTTTTTTATTACATATTCGATTTATTCATTTATTTAAAAATTAAATTTATTGAAGATTTTTTTAAAACCGCTCGATCGAACTAATTTCGATCAAATTGAAATTGAGAACTTGAAATGAAAAATTAAAAAATATTGATATAGGCTTAATTCAAAAGCAAATTTAAATCACACGCATATTCCCTAATAGTTAATGTTTTATATGTTTTAAATTTTGGTTTCCCATGCGGCAATAATTTGTAACGTTATTTTAGTTGGAGTAAGGGCCTTATATAAACTTAAGAACATGGGAAATTTTGAAAACAGTACTTTTCAAAATATTTTTTTTGTATACTGTATAAGTTGCAGCAGATTATGTAGCATTTATAAAATAATTGTTTAATAAAGCAAATTATATGTGACGTCTATAGTCTACAGTACACGGCCTGATAGTAGGTAGGAAGCCCTAGTCCTACAAAAAATTTAAAATAACTGGTAAAATCGTGCCAAAACTAAACATTAATTTTACTTAGTAAATTACAAAATAAGCCAAATATTAAGCATAACTAGGTACTTTTGAGAAAAATGAATTACGTAAAAATAGTTAAATAATTATTAATAATGATATGTGTTTAGAAAATGACCAATAGATGTCACCACGTATTTGTGGAATACGATTCTTCATATTTTCATTTCATCTTAAAATTTGAAATTAATATTTTTTATACCACCATTATATACCATATTATTTGTAGGACAATAGTAATCCCGTGTTTCTCATTTTATTTCTTACAGAAAAAAATTAATATTAGCTTGTCATGTATCACCGTCCGGGAGACAGGATCCGAGAGTAGGACTGAGAAATTCTTCCATTTTTTTGTAGGACGATATGACCATTTAATTTATGCATATTTTTAATAACAAATATTGTAAAAAACGGCCGGTTATTAATAAATTTTATAACGCTGTTATTTTAACAAGTTAACGGAGAGGGGGACGATTTGATCCAAATTCCAAACCATCTGTTTTATAGAGCAACATTTTTTTCTTGTTTTATGTTGTATTACCCCATGACTAAATTGCAAAACAACTTGTAAGTACTTAATAAATTTTACAGTCAACGTTTTGACATGTTCCGTATAAATCATACTATCATATTTTCGTAGAAAGAAAAGTTAAGCGTCTCGAGTAATAACGAAGCTACTCGTAAAGTTTCAGCTTCTCATTAGTTATTTAAAAAAGGGCGTGGTGTACTGTAGACTATTATGTATCACTAGCAAGCCACGTACCCGTCCGTCCGGGCTTAGTCTAAGTGTTAAGTGATATAAACACACATAACATGCCTACACACGTACGAATATGTGGATACGCCTAAATTACTGGTTGTACCTGTTATATTCTGAATTCAGATTAATAAATTTTAAATTATCTTATTCGACACACGTGTTACCGGTCGTACGTATACGTTCAGAAGTTTACGCTTGCGTGCATAATAAAACCTTTTTTTTTTAATTTTTTAGCTGTTTAGGAATTAATAAGTACGCCACCTTATTGGCGGTACTTTGACAGATATCTATGCGGGCGTGATTATAAAAACTCATGGAAATTTCATCGATCAATTTAAACTCATTCATCAATCTGATGAATGGGCTTAGAATGCATGCGCAGAAACTCGAACATAATATATTATTTGAATATACTGATGGCATTCGTCTACTATGCAAATCTTAATATTAATAATAACAGATGTTGTACTTTAATAGAAATATTACTAATCAACTTACCTAAATGTATGATTATTGATTAATATAATGTATCAATCAAGACGAATAATATAATGCTTACGTGATACCTATATCACGGTAATGTTAATCTTCATACAAAAGGTCAGAAACCTACGCGCCTCGCTTTCGGTATACACTCGGTAGACAACCGTGCGGGGCTGCCAGATCGTATAATTGAATACGAAAATAATATAAGGTGGTTATGTTATGTAACTTTTATAATTGGATACAACAATAAACATTTTAAGCCTTCCGTAACTTCGCTAATCTTAAACAAAAAAGTATCGAGACATCGTATGTTTTAAAAATAAAAATTAGTTAATTAAATTAAAAATAAATATTTTTAATTAAAGTTTTTATCCGAATACGGATTTTTTGTACTACATATTAAATTTAACAACAAAGCTTTTCGAACGTCTCAGTCGAGGCGCAAATATTTTTCAATCTCAAATTTATAAGGGTCACATACCACCCTTATAAAGAGATTTTTAAATTAAATCTACTTATAATATTTTTTTAATAAAAATATAATATTTGAAATCACAAAACTAGAAAGAAACAAGCTGGTAGATGAAATTAAAACGCGGCGGGCAGTCCTGTCGCGTGGTTATACGTAACCACGCGACAGGACTGCTCGGTTGTAGCACGGTAATGTTACATACAGTATTCCATCTTCATACAAACGGTCGGGAATCGAGTTATACCTACGCGTGTCGCGTTCGGTATACACTCTGTAGACAACCGTGCGCGGCTGCCAGATCGTATTGTGGTTATGTAATGTAACTTTTATAATTGGATACAAAAATATACATTTTATTCCAACCGTAAAAATTAAAGTATTTTTAATAAAACTTTTTATCTGAATGCGGATTATTAAATAAAACTATCTTTTCGGATTATTTACAGACATGTTGTCTGTAACAACTATACCTTCAAGACATGTAACACCTCAGTCTCTCCCGTGACCATGGATGCTGTAAAGCGTTCGAATTATACTATTACATTTAACAATAAAGCTTTTCATACATCTCAGTCGAGGCGCAAATATTTTTCAACCTCTTTATAAGTATCACATTCTACCCTTATAAATTTGAGATTTTTTAATTAAATCACAAAATTAGAAAGAAACTCAAGTAGGTAATTGAATTTAAAATACTGGCCGGCGGGCACTCGGGCAGTTGCAATATTGCATGCATAATATTACCGTGGTTGTAGGTAATTATTTCAAGAACAGAGCCGATTTGCAATACTGTATGCATAACATTACCGTGCCTATATTCAAAATTATTGTTAAGTATGTACCTCATATCTACATTTAATTTCATCAAATACTTGTATTCTTCTAAATTCTAAAATGTCAAGTGTTTTGTATTCGTTGTTCACTCATTCATTGTAAATTTCAGGTAGTCGAAACATATTTTTTAAGGATAAAAAATTTCAGGCTCTATGCCTTATTATATTCTTATTGTGATAGCAATTGCATTTATAGAATAAAAACGAATGGAAATAAAATTGTTTTACTATATCCTTAACAAGAAATCGTATCAAATTGTAATTACCTATTAAATATTTCGAATACTAACTTCTTGAACAGATCAGTAGATTTTGATTCAGCAATTCGTTAAAAATAGAGATCATATAATTATCATTATTAAAATTATAACTAAGTGTCATACTTAAACTAAAGTCAAAATTTCATTTCAATTTTTTGGAAAATCTTATTGAAATAAACATTATTTTCGATACAGAGGCTTAATCTATAGTTTTTAGAATTTTGGTCTGTCTGTCTGTTACCGCATCACAGAAAAATCACTGAAGGGATTTTGATGAAATTTGGTATGAAGATAGCTGGTTATCCGAGTCAACATATAGGATATTTTTTACCACTATATATACTAATATGTAAAACGTAAGAATGGTTTTTGGTCATCTGAACGCGGGCGAAGGAACTATGTATATCTATTATGTGCCTTGACCGTCGTCAAGTAATTTATTTATGTAGTAATATACTTTATGTCAAGTAAGTTCGTTCGTAGTTCGCTTTTTAAACGTTAAGAAATGCATTTACCTATAAGAAGAAAAGAAAACTTGTTCAATTAAAATAAATATTTTCTTTCTAGCTTTTTACACGAATGGGGACTTATAATTTCAGTGGAGGCAGAGTGATAAAGAGAGAGTTATGTGCTATTAAAACAAAAAAAATGCTACAGGAATAAATGTAATTATTTTTTGGGTGACGTTTCATCGTTAGCAGTTTTATTAGTTATTCATGCTTAGCAGCAAACCTTAAAAGTCAAAAGTGATATCTTTTTTCACCGTCCTTAGAAAAGTTTTTTAATATTCTCTATAAAAGTATTGAGCAATATTTTCTATACTTACCAATTCTTTAGATAGAGTATGAACGAGGATCGATACATATATATTGTATGAATGTAAATAGATGCTGTTAATATTATTAACAGCCTGTTATAATCAAATATTACGGACAAAAAATAGTGTGTGTGTGTGTACTTGAAAGCTAGAATCTACAGCGGTAAAGTATTTCTATACCTAGTCTGTGGTGAAGTAAATATAAACAAAATGACGAATGACGTGTGACTTCATCAAATAACTGTAAAAACATTACAATTTACAAAGCTTAGCATAAAAGTTAAATTAAAAAATACCCAAATAAAGTAGTAATAAATACAATAAATTGTAATCTTTGCTTTCTTTACAATTATAATTATTGTTTATACGATCCCTAAAGTATTTAAATATATTTAAATATTAAAAATTAAAATGGTAGTATTATTATGAATAATTTAAATGTTGACCTTGCTGTTGAATATGTAAAAAATATAGTTGATAAAAACAAATGTGTCAGTTGGTGAGTGCAAGATATCTTAAATAATTTGGAAAATTATTTGAAATCCTAAAGTATATTAACAAAAAAAATTTTTAGTGACCATTTACAAGGACCGTACGTGAGATACCCTTGTGGGCATTTTATTTGTCAGAAATGCGTTGCTACTGCTGAAGAATGTTTACTGTGCCTTTCTCCTCCAGCTGTATCGACCCATTTTATAGATAAACCTTTAACGCGACGTGTAGAACATATTTCAAATTTATTAACGGAATTTCAAGAATTATTAAATATAGATGGTATGTGATTTTTACATTATGAGTTAAATTTATGTGATAGATTATAAACATATTTTAATAATGCTTTAATACTTTTTGCAGTTTTCAAACGACACAGAATTTCTGAACAGTTAAAACTAGAAAGACAACTTTTTCCAGAATGTATTCAGGCTCCATCAAAATACTGTAATAAAAGAAAAAGTTCAAACATTTCAGTATTAGATAAAGAAAACATAACATCTTCATACATAGCTGGTGAAAATACCTCATATATTAAGCCTTTTAAAATGGAAGATTCCAATTACTATGTTCAGCACTGGCTAGACACAAATATAACAAAGCCCAATAAATCCCGAAAACCTTTTGCTGATCTAAAAGTTAATTGCAATTACTCTAATATTAAATCAATAGATCTGGTTAAGAACAATGTCAATGAAGTAGTTAGTAAGAAAAGAACTCATAACAAAAAACTTTCTTATGAAAGCAAAAAGCTAAAACAATCACCTAAAGCAATTAAAAAACAACATAAGAAAAAAGAACTATGTCTTCGAAGTAATGAAACTATTAAGTTAAAAAATAATAAATTAGATAATAATGACAGTGGGATTGATTTTGAAGATCATACAATAGTAATAGATGAGAGTCAAAATGATGTCTTTGATAAAGATAAGCTCGCATGTTTAGCTGTGATAGAGGCTGAAAAAAACAATGTAAATATTTTTACAGATTATGAAACAACTCAATGTAGCTCAATAAGAATTAATGATGTAAGCATTAATACCAAAACAATAAAAGCCAAAAGTATGCTACCTTTATTCAAAGTGCCATTTTATAGAAAAAGTTCATTATATGAAGTTTGCTCGTTATATTCACAAAATACAAATGAAAGGATGTATAGAAATAATGCAGATAATGTAACTGTTACCATTGAGAATAATAACTTTGTAGCAACCATTAACATTTTACATAATAAAGAAAACAGTATTAAACTCACAAATAAGCATTCTGTTGAAATCCAAACTATTGATGTAAATGATGAAAATGAGAATAATGTTGATCAGGTTAATATACCTCATGGCAATGTAAAAAATAAAGCCAATAAAGCCAACATTTTATTATACGAAGATTTAATGCAGAGTGAAAATAAACAAGGCACCCTTTTACTTGATAATAAGCCGAAAGAACAAGCAATCAAATTAAATTCCGTAGAAGTGAAAGGTGTTATTGTAGCAGAATCAGAAACAGACAGTGATACAGATAATGAACATGCAAATACAATTGAAACTATTGCAGATGTTCATGCATCAGCACAATTGTAAGAACCTTATTTAGTAATGTAAATAATATATTAAATGTATTAAGTTCTTGGCTTATTTAATTAACTCTACAATGGCTAGTATATTTGATTAACCATTTTGACTAATTGTCATTACAATTTTTGTAAGACTGTATATAATTTAATTTTAGTTTCAGTGCTTATGGAATTTTATCCACACTGGAACCAAATCAATATGAACATAGACAGCAAAGGAAAGCAATTCGTGGTAACTCGCCAATCAGTACTGATTCTTCTGACAAGGAAAATTATGATCCAAACAGAGCAAAGAGGCAGAAATTTGATAAAAAATCAAAGAAATATAACTGTTAATAATTAGCTCGTTGTTTATTTTATGTTATATTTATTTGAAGTAATAAAACTTTTTATTTAATTATTTTTTTACTTAATACCAAAATTATTTGAATATTTTCATTTTTTTTCTATATCTTATAACATTTATGTTTAACTACGGTACGTTTTAACGGTTGGTATGGAATAGATAGACTATATAATATACTAGCATTGCCCGCGACTCTGCCCGGGTTCAGATGACCAAAAACCAAATTCTTAGGTTATACATATTAGTATACTCTTACAATGCAGTTTTTGTATTTTTTCTCAGAAATGAGTTATTTTCCCGCGGTAAAAAGTATCCTATATGTTGACCCGGATGACCAGCTATCACCATACCAAATTTCATGAAAATCCCTCTAGTGGTTTTTCCGTGATGCGGTAACAGACAGACTAAAACTATAGATTTGGCCTCAAAATCGATAATAATATCTATTTCAATAAGATTTTCCAAAAAATATTTAAGGTACAGATTCGGCTTAGTTACAATTTTATTATATGTATAGAACTACGATCAAAAACACAAACATACAAAAACTGCAATGTAAGAGTATACTAATATGTAACCTAATGTATCCTGGGTTCGAGTCCCGGGTCGGGCCAAGTTTAGTTATTGAGTCTTTCTGTATAGTAAGTCTCAGTTACAGCCCGGAGTTGGGAAGTTGGCGGTGTTTCACCCCCGTGCCTCGGAGAGCACGTAAAGCCGTCGGTCCTGCGCCTTAACTCTCACTGGTCGTGTCGAATGGTCGTCCCACCAGAGTATGAGAGTGACAGGAATAGAGAGTGCACTTGTGTCTGCGCGTACACTTGTGCACTATAATATCTCCTGCGCAGTTGGCTAGTCTCAATAAGATTGGCCGCCGTGGCCGGAATCGGCTAGGAGAACATCATCATCAATATGTAATACCTAAGAATTTAGGTTTTGGTCATCTGAACGCGGGCGGAGCCGCAGGCAATGCTAGTCTGTCCTAAATATCTTCAAATCCGTCCCCGCACCGTTTCGTAGCCTAGATCTATACTCTCGTCCGGTACGAAGTCGGTGATTAACTGGACCCGGAAAAGAGACCAAAATCTTTAAAAAATAATAATTTAAATTCGCTTCGCTCGGGTGCGTGCCCTATAGGTACGTTTTAATTGTTTTGAGCGGAATTCCATTTTTTTATATAAAATAAAAGTAACGTTACCTACTCCTTATAACGTCAGCTATCTGCTAGTGAAAATCCCATCAAAATCAGTCCAGCCGTATCGGAGATTAAGCGGAACAAACACAGACAGACAGACGACCAAAAATGTTTAAAATTGTATTTTTCTTATAAGTACTGAATATAATTTTATATGCATTTAGTAAATATTATTTTAACATTACAAAGAGACATCTTAAATTTTTTTTATCTGTTACAGATTAGTACCTGACTACCTGGGCGAGCGAGATTCGCTCGTCGGCGGTTTTCGGAAAAAAATACAATACTTGCGATTTTTAAAAAAAGACAATACCTAGTTAAATTTAAAAAGCAAAACTTTACTCTAAATACAAAATTTGATTCAAATCTTTGGAACCGTCTACGATATACCTACATAAAAATTAAAATAAAATATATCTACAGTCGATATATACAAGAAAATTGAAAAATTCCGAATCAATTACAATATAATTTAACAGTAGTTAGTATATATTAGTATTTTTAACTGTATTTTAAGTAGGTAAGTGTGTTTTGGTATCCCAATTCCCAACTTTAAAAAAATACATTTACCCATAGAGAAGAATAAAAAGTACTTTATAGTAATAGAATAAGAAAAAATTTCTCGATTTTTTTTAAATGTACCTAGTGTTTTTTTCATATTTTTAAATGGGTTTTTAATTAATTTTGCCCTTTGTTACTAATGAGAAAGGAAATTCTGCCAGAACTGAATTTACTTGCAGCTTTTCATTCGTCTAATAGGGACCTTACTGTAGTTTTGAACTATATTATGAAGAAAGTACAAAGAAAATTAGGGAATTCTAATTTCTTATAATTTCTTGACAAAATATAAATTAAAAGATAGAGTAAATAGGTACTAAAAGAAACAAAGTATAAGTTTGAGGTACGATTGTATTTATGTTTCGTTGGTCATGATCACCACCAGCCGGATGAGCCGCCGCTGGGCCAGCCGCCACCACCGCCGCCGCTCGACCAGCCGCCACCACCGCCGCCGCCTGACTTCCATCCGCTACCACCGCCGCCGCCGGACTGCCATCCGCCACCACCGCCTCCGCCGGACTTCCATCCGCCACCACCACCGCCGGACTTCCATCCACCACCACCTCCTCCACTGGACCATCCGCTGCTGCCACCACCGATCTTCCACCCACCGCCGCTACCACCTCCTAAAAATAAATATTTAAGAATAGATATAGAGTTACATTAAGCTAAACATGGTCGTACCATTGAACTAAAATTTATTGGCGTATCTATATTTATGAGCGTAAATATTTCTAATAATATTACAGATTATCATATTTCCTGTGTTAATTTTTATTCAATACGCATATTACAAGTACGAAGTTATCTTATGACTAAGTATTTATATAAATTCTAAAATGGCTCTTTTCCGTAGGATATAGATTGCTTCATCGTAGGTAGCAGGTTCGTTCTATCACAAAGGCAGCAAGCATGCAATTTATTTGGAAAACTATAAAAGCCGATATCCACTTAAATCATAAGTGTGCAAATTTTGAATTAAATTTTTAATGTCATATTAGTTCTATATTATATGGCGTAAAAGTGATGGCAAGTTTAGATTTAATTATTGCAAAACAACGTTCTTAACATCACGATGCGTTTAATGTAGACATTATTACGCAATTTGTAATTCTGTTGTAGGTACTATCAAGTGAATGGATGACCCTCTTGGTCGGTCTTTTGACCTCTCTTAATGTGTTAAGGCAGTATGCACAAATATTACATTTTTGAAATCTTTAATCTATGTACGTCTGTCGGGTCGTTCACTGTGGACCTACCTTGCTATCTAGGCGATAACCCTAACGGGGTTAATAACCTTGCTAAAGAAACATGCGAAAAATGTTCATGTTAAAAAAATAACATAGTAAGCAATGGGCACTCGATATAGATATAATGTTTTGTTCGATGGTCATAGTGCTTAATAAATAATAATGTTTTGCATACACCACATGCAAAAACAAGTGCTTTATATTATAATATTACGACTAGTGAAATGAATGTCACATCTATCACGAAGTCGTTACCGTGATCGTGGATTATGAAATCATTAAGCATCCTTTCTAAAGATAAAGTATTAGAGCAAATTATAATGCTCACCGTAACCGCCGCCGCCGCCGCCGCCGCCGGATGTGATGATTTTGATAATTTTCACCTCTGCAAAAAGTTACAATAAAATGTCAAGACATATTTTAATAAAAGTTCTTAAAAAACTTAAGTAGGTAAGTATAGAGGAATGTAAGTTACATCACTGGGTTCTTATTTAGATTTATTTGAAAAGTATTTATAAATATTACAGAAGCCAAATAGCCGATTTCATACACAATTAAAAATATCGAAAAGATTAAATCAGAAAGCTTCCAGTAGGAGCAGCTGGACTCTTCTAAGGGTCCATCTGGCAGTCCCCTAGAGGAGTCTAGCGACTTATGAAGATTAATGATGACTTTAAGATAGACTAAATTCAGTTGAAATATATTGATAAATTTTATATATTTTAAAATAGGTCCCTACGTATTTTCGACTGATTTCAAAAATAAGCGTTTAAACAAGACGATATACAAACAAGTATTACGAATAAAAGTTTAAAAATTGTATTGTAGAATGAAATCTTGTTGTCTATAAAGCCTTTAGCCTACCTATCTCTAAAACATGCACCTATTGCTATGATTTAGCGTACAAGTTGAGAATGTTTAATTCATAAATAATTTTAGAGCAGTCGACCAAGTATCAAATCTGGAAGTTTACGAGATTTATCATGAGTGTAGGTACCCCGTACTCATATTTTACTCAGTAAAATGGGAAATATATAGACGTTGCCTAGTAAGCACATGCTTACTATGTAATTTATGAAGAGAAAAATAACAAGTAATACTGAATCATAATATTTTATATTGAAATAAAATAAGGCTTCCCATATTATAACTTGTTATTTATAAATTCATCTATTTCACCTTTGACCTTTCATATATATCAGACCTATCTGTAGATATAATATAGTTAAGAGAAAAGACACAAGAAAAATAATATTCCCATTTCGCTAATTTACATGGTTATATTTTGCCAAGTGTACCTACATACATATATTTCAGAGTGAAATTTTCTAAACTAATTGTTACTCACGTCCACCGCCGCCACTGCCGCCTCCGTGGCCGCCGCCACCGCCGAAACCGCCGCCACCCCCGTAGCCGCCGCCACCCCCGCTAGACCATCCGCCTCCGCTGGACCATCCACCTCCACCACCCCCTCTGGACCATCCCCCGCCGCCGCCGCCGCCGCCGCCAATATAGCCGGCATTTACGGCCATTGCTAGGGCCAAGAGGCAAACGAAAACCTGGAACATAATTCAAACTTGCGGATTAAATTACAGATAGCATATTACAATATAAATATGTCAGTTATGTAAAAAGAAGTAAAGAATCGAGTGTAGTGTCCTTTTTGTCTATCCCGGTAAAGGAATAGAATAAAATCAAAAATAAGAAAGAGACAAAACATGTAGAAAATTAAAAAAATATGTAAATATGTATTTCAAATATTCAATTTGATAAGTAGTTTAACAATCTGTTTTTTGAAACAAAATATTAATAAATATAATAATTTGCACCGATTTCATTAGAAACGAAATAGTCAAAATATATAAAAGGGTGCAATAGACTTGTTGAGGTATTACCTTCATGTTGATGGTATACGATATGTTTGCTGAGGGGTCGGCGGTTTGTTATATATGCAGAATTGCCGCCCCACTTGGGAGTGCGAAGACCGTGAGACGAGCTAGAGAACGGAAGCTGTTCCGCGGCCGATGTGACGCAACCCATTGTCCCTGCGCCTCAGGTGAACTCAGATTAGAACATCGCTGTAATTATAGAAATGCGATTACTGATAACCTTACTCGAATACTAACTTGCCTTCATAACCAAATTATAGTAAGCGTCCTGTGTTACCGTGTATATTTTTAATCAACTTAAAAAAAGAAAATTGTTATTGTTTACTAAATATATTACTTATTCAATTTATTTTTGGATTTTTTGGTTACATTCCAGTTTAAGAAAAAATGTGTAATCGTAGTAATTTTACAGAATAGTTACATTGCTATCAATGATTCATTATGTCATCATTGCAATTTGCAATAAATCGTATTATTTGTAGGTAAGCTTCGATAAAGCACATTTACGTAATGTTGCATTACATTATGTATCTATCTTTGTTTTATCGGATAGGTAAGGAAAACCATTAGTGTATTAAAAATGCGTATGTACATGTTTCAAAAATAGACATTCATATTTCATAATCCGACATTTTCACTAATAAATATATAAAAGCTGCTTCAATGAGATTTAATTTAAATCCATACTAATATTATAAATGTGAAAGTGTGTTTGTTTGTTTGTCCTTCTTTCACGTCGAAACGGAGTGACAGATTGGCGTAAATTTTTGTTTGAAGATAACTTTGGAGCGCTGGAGAGTGACATAGGCTACTTTTTACCGCGGGAGATTATCTAATTCCCACGGGAAAACACGTTATAATACAATCCAAATAATATTTATGATAAGAATTACTTGAAACTCGGTATTAATGTTCTTCAATAAAATTAAATAAATAGTAAATACGTCTTTTAGCATTTTTCGAAATTAATCCTTTAAGAGGGTAAAACAGGGGATGACAGTTTGTATGTAACTACCTTTTTAGAGATTTTTTTGTAGTTTTAGCCCGAGCGAAGCCGCGGGTTCTGCTAGTCTATACATATAATAAAATTGTAACTAAGCCGAATTTGTACATTAAATATTTATGGGAAAATCTTATTGAAATAAACATTATTATCGATACAGAGGCCGAATCTATAGTTTATAGAATTTTTGTCTGTCTGTCTGTCTGTCTGTCTGTTACCGCATCACAGAAAAACCACTGGAGGGATTTTGATGAAATTTGGTATGGTGATAGCTGGTTATCCGGGTCAACATATAGGATACTTTTTACCGCGGGAAAATATCTCATTACTGAGAAAAAATACAATAACTGCAATGTAAGAGTATACTAATATGTAAAACCTAAGAATTTGGTTTTTGGTCATCGGGCAATGCTAGTGCCTAGTAAGGTATAGGTATAATTCATAAACACAAATTGAGTTGACAAAACCTTTCAGTTTGAATTTTAGCTGCTACTATTATTTTATTACAATTATTTATACATATCTACCTACTGATAAATGTGTATATGAAAATAGAAACGTCAATTAATATTTTTTTATGTTTAAGATTCCGTAATGTGGATAAGAAATAATACAGATAAGTTTATGTGAGTATTAGTTATTTCTGTACCTATTGTCCTATCACGGTATATTAAAAAAAGATAACTAAAAAGATGAAAACATGTTGACGAAGAAATATAGTATGCAGTCGGAGACATACACAGTTATGTTACATCTCGCGGCAAAGATGAAACGTGTAATACACTACATAGTATGTCTCCAACAGAATCATATAATACAATACTAGCTATAATTCTTTGTCAACTTGTTTTCATCTTTTTAGTTAGTGTTTATACAGTCGCGTTTTTTATTTTTATATTATATTTTTTTATTTACAGCTTTTAAATTCTTGCAAATGAAATATTTGAAATAATATTACTTCTAAACATATAAGTTGTATATATTTTTGGGAATCTCAATCTCGCTTCAAAGTATAGATAAATGCTACACATTAGAACTGGTAGATTCCACATAAAAAGACAGTATGCGCTAGAAAGGATTTTTGAAAAAAATGTTTTTATGAAATTCCGTTTTTTTTGAAGTTACAATAAATTATAGTTTAGAAAACTAAAAAACGCGCTTAAATGATGAACCGAACCGTTTTTTAGTATAAGAATAAAGTGAGTGAAAAAAGTGTATATTTTATACTAGCATTGCCCGCGGCTCCACCCGCGTTCAGATGACCAAAAACCAAATTCTTAGGTTTTACATATTAGTATACATTGCAGTTTTTGTACTTTTTCTCAGAAATGACACATTTTCCCTCAGTAAAAAGTATCCTATATGTTGACCCGGATAACCAGCTACCATCATACCAAATTTCATCAAAATCCCTCCAGTAGTTTTTCCGTGATGCGGTAACAGACAGACAGACAGACAGACAGACAGACAGACAGACAGACAGACAGACAGACAAAAATTCTAAAAACTATAGATTGGGCCTCTGTATCGATAATAATGTTTATTTCAATAAGATTTTCCATAAAATATTTAATGTGCAGATTCGGCTTTGTTACAATTTTATTATATGTATAGATTAGACATATTGAAGTGGATTGTGGTATCGAATTCCCAAATGACGAGTCCATCATATTCAGGTGGTAAAAGTCGTAACTTAAATATACGTACGAGAAATAAATTATGTATGATGCTGCGCTTTGAGTGTTAATGTTGCATATACATATAAAATTGTTGCTCAACATACCATTGCTACTAAGATTTAGCCTTTAGGTAGGTTATTGCCCAATTTAAGATGTTATACTTAGTTCTGTCTAAATCGTATAATTAAGTTACAATCTAGTGTGAACAATGCGTTCAAATGTGAAATGTTGCACTGCATACTACGAGTAGTATACCATTACGAAGTAATTACCGGCCGCTAATTTTACCGAATCACGTTTTGATATAAGCCACCTTAATGTATGTAATAACGTGTATCCTGTCGCTGATCACTGATAACAGTAGAAGATTGGGAAATTATAATATATTTAGTAATGATAAAAGCTTTAGTTATCATAGATCGATTTTGTAGATTGAAGAGTACAGAGAGAGGTAGCTAATTAATTTGGGTGTATCTGTATGCTTTTATGTACATGTTATGGCCTAAGAAAGCCTGCCAGGCCTGACGAAGGTCTGGCGTTCACGGGCTCTTCCTCTATTACGCGATATCTTCGCCAATAAGGAGGGAATATGCGTGATTTTTTTAAGTTGCACTTTTTTTGGGACGTTTGGAAAAAAATATGAGAGTAAAAATTTTACGATGAGCGCGCACACCGACAGCCAAATAGCGACATGATGAAGTTAGCTAATAAGTGTTTGTTGCCATGGTAACCGTTTTTATTGTCTGACAAAATTTATATAATATTAAATATTCTTTCCTTAAATGATCATGTATCATGCGTTTCTTTTCCTTGAATGATATTTATGATGGGCAGTGGTAACTGGTAGCCCAGTGGTAACGCGCTCGCTTGGGAAGCCGAGTGAAGTGGGTTCAAATCCCGGGTCTCGCACCTCTGATATTTTCATGTGCGAATCATTTCTAAAATGATTACCACTTGCCTCACGATGAAGGAAGACATCGTGAGGTAACCTGCATGTCTAAGAGAACTTAGCAAGTTTTCGAAAGACATTTTATGTCCGCCAACCCGCACTTGGCCAGCGTGGTAGGCTATGGCCTGTCCCTATCATATTGAAGGGCTCGTGCCCAGCATTGGGACGTTAAAAAGCGCTGAATACAAATGATATTCTATAAATATATGACTGTAATATGCCTAATAAGTATGCCTTATTTAATTATTTTATTTATTTAACATTCCTTTTACAAACAGAGAGTTGTGACATACAGGATGAAATCTTTAGATATTTTTGTTCTGTTACGCCAAAGAAGTACCTATAACTTCTTACGTGCGTACATAAGTCCACATACACGTTTTTTTATACAATAGCTAACATCGTTAGGTATATAATTGTAAAAAAAAAATTGTATAAAAAAATTTCGCGCGCTTGGCGTGACGTCAAAGTCAAAATATATAGAAAAATTACGACTACTTTGGAGCGACAAAATCGCTAATCTCTCTGTTATGTTATAATACTTTGAAGTCATATTCGGACTGACAAATGGAGTGCGTTTCCACGACTGAATTTTCCACAAATTATATTTAAAAAATATTTCACCTTTATTTAAATTACACGCATATATTCTCAATTGTAAGCCGTTTATACCCGACTGCAGCGAAAAGAAAGGAGGATTATATGTTTAACGTATATGTTTGTATATCCAATGCTACGTTCCCTCGTCACCGACCGATTTTGCTAAATTAAGTATTTTTCGATAGATTATCCTTGATAATGAGTGTCATAAGGTATATTTATATTATAAAATATGTATAAGAACAGCGGATTATAATTTTGATATCTTAATTTTTTTATTTCAAACTTATTGAGTGTCTTTTAACTTTCAAAAGAAATTTGAAAAATTAAAAAAATAACAATTTCTGGAACGGGTTAGGATCTCCTTAGTCCTTAGCACCTCGGTTTTTGCCTTTTTTCATGAAAAAAATACATTCATGTGTTCATGAATGTTTTTTTTTCTGTTGCATACAATATGTTTCCTTATCTCCTTCTAGCTTGACAGATACTGTAAGGTACTTATTCACTCTATATATTATTTCTAAGGTTATGGCGTCATTGTTCTTAGTGAATGCAGTATCAGGAGGCGGGCGCGCACTACCAAGCGCAGCAACGACAACGGTCACTTTTTACACGACCACTATCTACTAAAACGCAATATGTTATAACATATACTATATTTATTCCGAACCAGTTTAAGTTTGAAGGATCAATTACAGACATAGCCCGCTGCCCGTAGCACCTATAAGCTGAAGGTGTACCTAGTGGGTATTACGCTATTCACGATGAGAATGATTTTTCCTTAAAGATAATTATATATTTTTATCCTAATAACTACAAATATCGTTCCCGTAGTGCATTGTCATTACCTAGTACCTACGCTGTAGCATCCTGATTCCTGCCTCGTATGGGATGTACCTACCTACATTGTAATAAGTTAC